CCAAATCTTTAAGAAGTTGCGTCCCAATGCCAAAAAAGTGACAAATGGAAGAAACCAGAAATTCGTGTTTCTTTAACGGGAATTTTTTTTTTTTTTTTGTAAATTTGGGAAATGCAACATTTGTTAATAAAGAACAAGAAAGAGTGAACTTTAAATGAATACATAAAAAATATAAGAATATATATGTGCTTTTAATGAAAAAGTAAAATATGTGTAACCTTTTACGTGTGTATTAGTTTTTAAATTATAATTTTTTTGAAGTATTTTCCAATCTATATTTTTAGGCATAAAAATAAACTCTCTAAGAACAATTCTAGCCCAAATTTTGCAAACAGTTCCCTCACTGGTTATTAATCTACTAACTTTTATTCGTCAAATATTATATTTGAGTTGCTCAGCCATATTTAATAATGATCATTGACAACTCAAAGGTATCTTTAATCGATATCATTGTCTCGATTAATTAGTTTATGAACATGTCATTACCAATTGGATCACATGAAAGTGGTAGGTGGCTGGTATGGATCTAATGGAACGGTGTTAGAATTCAAACTTTACCATTGCATCACAGACCATGCTATTTTCTATAAACGGACAAATACAAATATATTAATAGTGAATGTCAATGTGGATTAACACGTGTATCAATATGTTGATGCATCAGATAAGTGCCACTAAATTAACCAATCACATCGCACGAAAATGGCGATGGATCCAACACACAAATACATTTATTCACTTTCTATGTTCATTCATAAAATGCCCCTTTGAATATTATCTGAGCTCTTATGCTGACTGGCTTTTTACTTTAGTCACCATACGATGCTAACATAATTAGTGCTCGTACAGTAATAGACTTGAGAACTTGATTACCGTATTAATCTAACTACCGTTAATATTTATATGATAACTCATCACCGTATATAACTAACAAAAAGAAAAGTAAAATTAGTATTCTCATTATACACGCAATGTGATACTTAACAATGCATTTATGTACTCTCGTTGTTTATTTCTAAAATACAAGTATCAAATATAATTAGATTCTATATCAAAAATTATATGAGTCGAATTAAAATTCAAATACATTAATATGTCTATGGTAACTGACCTCTGAACTTAATCAGAATACCAAACTAATCAAATGTAAAGATCAATTAGTATCCCAACTACTTATAAAGGAGAAGGAAAGAAAAACAACTAAATAGCTCAATGGACCAACTCCATTGCTATTGTAATCAGACAAATTTCAGCCATTGATCACAATCATCCGCTTGATATTTACCATTTGGGGGATTTAGGTTTCCATCCAGCTCTGCAAGGTGTAATAATGTAATATTTTTTATTCAAAACTGCGCCATGAACAT